TTGTTGCTTATTCTTTCTGGCCATCTGATTTTCAGTAGCGAGCATCAGCAGTTGTTGATGAATGTCTGTAGTTTATTGGAAATGCCTTTCGTGACGCGCCAAGTCTCTGAACCATACATGAGCACTGATTTGACGTTGGTGTTGAAAATCCGTATCTTGTTCCGCATGCTGAGTGCAGAAGATCTCCACACTGGTTTCAGGCTAATGGACGCCTGTCTTGCTTTTCCGATTCTGACCTTGACATCCTCGTCTGTGCTGCCTGTAGTTGAAACAGTGCTTCCTAGGTAGGTGAAGGAGGTTACTTCCTTTAAGTTTCTCCCGTTGACAGTGATTGGAGTTTGTTGTTGTTGTTGTTGATGGTGGTGGTGCGGTATCTTCATCACTTATGTCTTCTCTATATTCACCTGAAGTCCCGTCTTCGCTGCCTCGCCGCTTCTGCCAACTTGTTAGTTTTTGCCTGTAGATCTTCAAGTTTGTGTGACATCAGGCACAAGTCATCGTTGGCGAAATCCAAGTCTTCTAGGTTCTTTTCCGTCGTCCAGCGTATCCCCCTCTTCTCGCTGCCCACTGTTTGCTGCATGATCCAGTCCACCACAATAAGGAATATCATGGGGGATAGTAGGCAACCTTGTTTCACTCCTGTCTTCACTTCAAAAGCATCACTGAGCTTCCCATTGTGAATTACTTGGCATGTGGCATCTTCATATAGTTGTTGAATGAGGCGGATAAAGGTTTGCGGCACGCCGTAGTAGTGAAGCAGTTTCCAAATTACTTGTCGGTCGACGCTGTCAAAGGCCTTCTCAAAGTCGATGAAGTTGAGGCAGAGAGCTGATTGCCATTCTACGCTCTGTTCTATGATGATACGAAGCGTTGCGATTTGGTCGGCACATGATTTGTACTTCCTGAAGCCTGCCTGTTCCGGTCGTAGTTTTGAATCCAGTGCATCTTTAAGCCTCTCCAGAATGATGCAGCTTAATATTTTGCTTGCTCTGGGTGGACAGGAGAGTGATTCCGCGCCAGTTCTTGCAAACACTGAGGTCTCCCTTCTTCGGAAGTTTGACAAGGTAACCCTTCTTCCAATCAATTGACAGGTACCTTCTCTTCCTTCCACACCTTCTGCAATAGTGGTGTGAGCATGTCCGCTGTTGTCTCTGCATCTGTTCCCAGTGCTTCTGGCGGTATTCCATCTGGTCCTGCTGCTTTCCCACATTTCAGCAGCTTTATGGCGTTCAGGACTTCCATTTTCGTTGGAGGATTTATGTTCACTTGTAATTCAGCGGCTGTAGGTGGTATTTCTGGACGAAGTGCAGGTGGTAGTCGATTCAAGAGCTTCTTGAAGTGGTCGGCCCATCGTTTCCTCTGTTTCTCTTCTTTCGTAATTAAATTTCCTTCTTCATCTTTTATTGTTTTCATCTGTGTTGGTCTCTTCCCTGATAGCAACCTGGTTATTTGATACAATGTTGTCAGGTTTCTGTCTCTCTTACCTGCAGCCTGTTCTGCTTCACTTGCCAGTGTTTCGTAGAAGTGTCTTTTGTCTTTGCGTGCACTCTTCTTCACTTCTTTGTCCAGTGTTTTATACACTGTGCTCAGTTCCTCTTGTCGTTGAGTATCTTTGCACTGGTTTATCCTCTGCTTCACCATCCTCCTCTCCTCTATCAGCTTCCAGGTAGCCGTCGAGATCCATTCCTTGTCTTTTTTCTTCTTCCTTCCTAATACGGCTGTGCAGGTTTCTTTCCACATCCCTTTCAAAGACTTCCAGTGTTCTTCCACACAGGTTTCTTCAGGGATGTTCCTCGATGTCTCCCATTTTGTCTTGATGGCTGCCGTGAAGATGCTCTTCGTAGTTTCATCCTTCAGTTTCCGAGTGTTGTACTTGAATTGAGGTCTATCACCAGCTTCTTTGAAGGCTTTTAACTTGATTTCGAAGGTTCCTTGCACTAGATAGTGGTCTGAACCTACATCTGCTCCTCTTCTTGACCTTGTGTCAAGTAGGCCGACTGCGTTTCCATTTTCTTGAGATTGAGATAAAGTCGATTTGATTTTTAGTGTGTCCATCTGGTGAAATCCATGTCGCTTTGTGGATATCTTTGTGCCTGAACACACTGCCTGACTCCAATCACCAAATCGTTGAATGCACAGAATTCTGCAAACAATTCTCCATTCTCATTCATTTCACCTAGCGCCTCTCGACCCATGATCACTTCTCTTCCTGTGTTGTCCCCTCCCAGTTTGGCATTCATGTCACCCCACCCATTAGAATTTTGATATCGCCAACTGAGGTGGTGTCTTGTCCAGTGTTGATTGAAGTTGTCTGTAGAAATCCTCCTTTTTCTTTTGCTCTGCATTATTTGTAGGTGCATAACATTGTATGATTGTGACCTTTCTTCCTTTTGATTTGAATCTTGTTGTCATGATCCTGCAGGAGGAGATTGGTTCCCACTGCATCAGAGCCTTCGATGCTCTTGAGGACATCATGATAGCCACTCCCTCAGTGTGCTCGTGGTTGGAGTCTGGGTGACCGGAGTAGATTATTGATTCTCCAGTTGATAGTTTGGAGAGTCCACTCCCATTCCATCTGCTCTCGCAAATCCCAAGCACTTCGATGTGATACCTTCTCATCTCCTTTGCAATCTGGGCTGCCTTACTGGGTTCAAACATCATACGGACATTCCATGTCCCCACGTTTACTTTCGCTTTCATCGAGAGAAGACACATCGGCCAATTGGCTTCCCGAAGGCTTTCACCAACTGGCGTCATTTCGCCTCTCCGATTCCAGCGGGGAATAAGTTTGTTTTCATTTTTTATATTTTGTTTGTGCTTTGAAGTTTCTTTAGCGGTTAGATTTGTTTTACGGGGTAGGGTTGCTAGCCCTATGCCCAACCTTCCCTCTTTAGCCGGGCTTAGGACCGGCTAGTAACTAGTAAACTAGTTAACCAGGCGAGGTTCCTCCAAAGTAAAAGAATCGTTAATATACGATGAACTGAGGGATGACCTTGCAAAGATAAATTTCTTTACGTCCCAACGACATGGACTTCGAAAGCGGTACTCCTTCAATACCAATTCGCTCGTTACAGTAGGTGGGTGGACTGGCATTGTTGACTGTCGGGGACGAATTGATGCTATCTATCTAGACTTTACTAAGGTGTTTGATCGTGTTAATTACGACTGTCTTATCGAGAAACTAAAATTACTTGGGATTCGACCTCCGCTCATTGACTGGCTGTCTTCATATCTACGAGGCCGTTCATTTAGAGTTCAGGTGAGTTTCTCTGCGTCTAAAGGAACAGAATCTCCCAGTGGTGCTCTTCAAGGTCCGGTACCAGGGCCTCTCCTTTTCTAGCACAAACGACTTGCCTCAACAGATCTCTTCCGAAATCCTTCTTTCTGCCGATGACGTGTAACCCTGGAGGCAAAGCAAAAGTGAAGATAGTGTTTCTCTACAGGAAGACTTGACTCGACTTCACAACTGGGTAATCAAGAGCAGGCTTGCATTTAATCCCGAGAAATGCAGGTTAGTACATGTAAAACATGGTACATCTTATGTATATAGCCTAAACGGCATGGAACTTGAAGTGTCATTGACGCTTTAGTCCCTCAAGACTTAAAATCCCATGCCAACTGTGACAGAAACACAACTCGTATGAACATGGCGTTCATAACTCTTTAACGAAATTTCGAATGATTCGATGGTAGATACTTTCACCAGCATTTCAACAGCTTCACGCGGCCTCATCTGGAGTTCGGGACCATAGTCTTCAGCCCTCACATCCAGAAGGAAAAAAATTAAGGATTTGTCCTGGTGCGAACTTGACAGACTCAAAGACCAATCACTAATTATTCGGACTTGTTATATACTCACGAATACGAGACCAAGGAACAACACGATAGCGTAATCGGATGGAATAGTATATTTGCGAGGTCGTGCCAAGATACCGATGCGTTCCGACTAACTGGCTAGAGAGTCGAGTACGAGCAGTGCAACGTAACACGACAGTGTGCCAGACGGCGGGGATGCTTGAACGGGTGCCTTCAGCTTAGCGAGTCCAGTTAAACTATTGAGGTCAGCATCAATGCTGAGTGTCGTCGAACCCTAGACTATTAATTTTTGGGGAAGTGTGTAACACTACAACCTAATCTTAGAAGTCATCCAGAGGTGTTTGACAAAATCTGTGCGAGGATTGAGATCGAAAACATACGAAGAACGGCTGGCTGCATTGGATCTGTATCCCGTAAATACAGAAGGTGACTTAATAATGACATACAACATTCTGGGTACTTCTGGCCACCCACTCCGTCAGTTGTTAAGTCTTAGCCGCAGCGCCAATCTTAGCGGACATGCACAGGAACTAAGGCTGGATGTCAGGCGCAACTTCTATTCCCTAAGAGTTGTTAAACCCTGAAACGCTCTTCCTGAAGATGTGATCCAGGCTACTTCGTTTGAATCTTTCGAATGCCAACTGGATACCCACTTGGTGTGTGTGTGGGATCTGCCGAGAACTGAGTGGATTTTCACATTTTAATTGCCACTTTTTCCTCTTTCTTTACTTGTACAAAGATTAACAACCACAAGGAGCAGTTATCCACGGATTGTAGACACGAAGCCAGTTAAGCGAAAGCTTCTTCTATTCTGTCAACAACCATTTGAACCACCTTACGTTACGCTTATTTTTACATTGCTTTTTCGCACTTCCTCCTACTTGATTTCGTCTAACATCTTTTCCTCCCTTCTATGTTCCATTAAAACCAGTCTGAACAACCATCTGGTGGCATGAAACTTTAGGAATCCTTGGACAAATCATATAAACCCTACAAATGTAGTCAACACCCAAAGATCCGTCGGCCTAACCAGAGCTGCGGCAGGTGAGTTACTAGACCCACTGCATCAGAATCCAACAAAGACATGGAGCCAATCCACAAGACCTATAAGTGAGCGCTTAGAAATCAATTACTTTGCCTTAGCTAGTAAAATGATATTGGATATTGGAGTTGCGTGGCTGCTCATAGCGGCGCCTTTCTGGAGTTTATGCGAAACCTTTGGTATCGCATTGGGTTTTATCCTAGCTCCCATTTATCATGTCTTTATCTCGTCTAGTCATCGAGAATAATTCATCTGTATGTCGTCAGTTTGCTTTTCACACATTTCTTAGGGATGGAAGTCCAGGCTTTCAACAAGAGTTTCTTGGAGAACTGCTGCTATAGTTGGTATTCCTCTGGGCATTGCTGGTTTGGCCGTGTTTTTTCATTACATAAAAACAAAAGTAAGTTACTCTTTAGAGTATTGTTCTGTGTCATCTCAAAGGATGAATGTTTAATTGTTGCTATATGCAAAAGTCCACATCTCAGGATACAGCTAACATTTTTGCGACTTTATTTTCTGACTACGTTCTCAACCTTTAACAAAAGCTCTCCTTATCACCCCTCCCCATAAATCTACCAATTTTTCTTCCTTGCGGTTTCCTTTTCCCTAATCGTCCTTTTCCATTTGTTTTTCTTTGCACTTTCTCCCTCTTGATTTATCTGCACATACTTTTCATCTCCTTTTTCAACCAGTCTGACCAATTGTCTGCTGGCACGACATTTGAGGAACCCATCTGCACTACAGTCTTTGGAAGAAAAACAAAGAAACAACAATTCCTACAAATTTAACCAACACCCAACCGCCCTTCGGGTTAACCAGAGCTACAGCAGTCGAGTGGGTAGACCTACTCCATTGGAATCCACCAAAGACCTGGAACCGTTCCGCCAAACCTAGAAGCGAGCGCGAAGAAATCAATTGCTTTACACTAGCTCGTAAAAAGATATTGGAAGTACAGCGAAAGGTTTTGCAACACCGCCCCTCATTTTTTTTCACTCTTTCTGAATTCTGTTACACTTTTCGCTCATTTTCTCACATGGCTCAGTCTTGTGTTATCAAACCTGAGTGGTTTCAAAATCCTGAGGCAATGCAGCAAAAACTAGCAAAACTGTCAATTTTGCTTTGTTTTCTGTCTTCGGGGAAATCTTAGTAAAGATATTCAGAACTTTTGATTGAATGTGTGTAGCTGCCATGGTACTGCTCTTAAGTCAGTAAACCTGGTGATGGTACATCCGCCACTAAGGTACAGTCACATCGACGTTATTAAGACCAATCGTAGGAGATCTTGTGTGATTTCTATACCATAATTAGCATTTCACTCAGCCTGACTAATAGCTCACGATCACCTTCAAACAGACAAATAAAATCAAAGTAGAACCTCACACACAAGTACATAGGTTCAGGTTACCACACCATACAAAAAAACAAGTGGGTAGGAAGTAGAAGTTGCATGAGAGAATAAACAGTTTGAGTATCAATGTCAACACGGATATCAAACTTTAGTAGACGTCAGAGATTGAATAAATCCGGCCCATTGTGACCGATTTTGGGCCATTTCACCAAGAGTCATCCACCACTGGTTTCTGTCGTCTCTAGGGTCCCAGCTAGTCAGGCTACACTCCTCTACAGGCTCACACCAACAGAGACTTTGTGCACTAGTGCCACATCTTGGTCTGGCCACCCTAAACTTACTTCCAACCTAACCCAACTTCCTGTATCGTGGCACTTTGGGGTAAATGGTGACTCGGTATGCGCAGCATATGTGCTAGCCATCTCAGTCGATAAAGGTTTGCGACTTCATTGATTGACTTTCCTTTCTTGCCTAGTGCCCTTCGTCTGAGCTCGACATTGCTCACATGGTGAGTAGTTAAAGACTTATTGACGGCTAGAAATCGGTCACAGTGACGCAGGCGTATTCACTACTTCCTATCTAAAGCTTGAACATTTTCGCCAACCTTTATCTTCAGATTGTGTATTCTGTCATGCAACGTTGTCCTCTTTGATATCACTTTTTCTATCCACTTGTTCTTTGTGTACTACTGCGAAGTGCTGCGAGGTTCTTCGTTTATTTTGTGTCTCTCGTACGCTGATTCCACCCAACACGAGCAATGCTACGAAGGCACCTGTGATCAAAACCCCTTTAACCGCTTCATGTCTTCGACTTTTAACGATCATACCCGACAGCCGTATATTTGTCCTTTAATAGACAGTTGGATATCTCGTCACTGGTGCCACAGATGACGCAAGTTGGCAAATACTAAACGGGCCTTCTGCGTCCAAGCTGAGATTTCGTTCAGGCTGGTACAATCGCCCTAGTGAATTGGTCAGTACACCCCTCCATTCCACTCCCCTTCCCAAAACTGGGAGTACTTGCAGCAAACCAGCCTTGGAGCAACAGTTTGCATGATAGATGCGAGACGCATCCTGAAAGCTTAGATTTCTACTCAAGGTGCTCAGAAATCCCTGAATTTTGTTAGCATCCTCACTTAGCAGGACAATGTAGTCTCCATTCTCCAAGTCAACCAGATGATCTCCAGAAAGTAGGTCAATCTCTGAAGTCAGACGTACCTAAAATTATGTCCATTAGCACGAGATGGTCCCACTCACCATGGTTTACCGGCATCCTTACTAAGTTTTAACAATTGCATGGTGTTACGTAACGCTAATCACTTAGCCATCTCCCTCGTTCTCGCAACCCACCACTGCCATCGATCGTTACGAAGACTCTTGGTCACTTTACGTTCAAGTTACTTTCACTCTTCACTGTGGTCCGAGTTTACGGGAATCAGTCTTCTCTCATCGATCAGTTCCAGTTACGTTTGCTAACCTTCCGGAGTAGGTTATCATCTACCTTTACCACTTTATCCAGCACTGACTATCACACCAGGTTCCCTCAGATAAGAACTGCTGTCACGTACAGATAAATGCTTAGCCAGCTCCCTAGATGTGTGCTTGACGTTCTCCCCTTCCAATAGTGCATAGGCTTCACTACCGCCTGTTTCTCGTGACTATTAAGGTGAAGACACACGTGCCCCTGCCAGTGCATGATCGGAGTCCAAGCAGATACTCCATAAAGAGCGGCAGTTCTCCACCGATCCTCTCCAACGGTGGCTTATAGCAACATGCTCTATCTGCGTCCGTTGTCGGTTTGTTGTTGGCGAACTCCAAGTGAAACTTCTGTTCTTATGCTTAGTGCTGGCCAGAAACAAGTGATTGATAGAACAAAATTTCAACAGACAATCACCGTTGTCGGTTCGTTATTATGGGATTCCTTAAATATCTCCCAGATGCCATTTCAATCGACTCAGCATTCAAGTCACCTGCCATTATGAATACATCTGAACGTTTTGCTTTCTATAGCAAAATTGACAGCTTCTTATAGAATTTATCTGCATCATCCGAACAATAGTCAGTGAGTGCATAGGCGGAGATTACGAATAAGCATTGGTTGCTCTCACAGTCTTTCCTTGTTGTTTCTACAAATCCTTTCAGTCGAAAAGCAAGCAGGCTGCTGTTTACTAGTATCCAATCGGAAAGTGCATTTTCTGCTTGGGAAATTAATGCTATGCCCATATCAGTGAGTCGAGGGAAGCTAGTCATTGGGTGTTTGGATACGCTTAAGGTGAGTTTTGAAGATTCACTAGAATGCCCAGGTAAGACTGAGTGGTCAACCACATACATGTCCTGTATATGTCTCAGAGACAACATGCATCCGTGACTCAAGATTTCTAATCGACGGCGGGGTCTTAAGAGACTAAGAATGAGATGTCGATAGCTTTGATCACGGTCAAAGGTCGCGGAATGAAATGTTAGAGGTGTAAGAGGCTTAATATAAGTATAAGGAGGGGAAGACAAAAGAGGAGACAGAGATGGAAAAGATAGGTCGTGTCTAATTGAGTCTTATGTGCTACTAGAAGTGTGTGGGTCGCTGATACTTCTCGGCTGCCCACACCGTGGAAGGTTAGGTCTTTTTGAGGTACCTGAAAGAGAAAAGGATTTGTGTGATAGCAGAGTCCATGGGATATTTACTTAAGGTCTGTCACAGCTTTGTGTGGATTACTGTTTTGAGATTTGGCCGTTCTAACTGTGGACTGAGCAAACTCGTACCGCTAGCACCAGAAAACCCTGGGGCAACTAAAAGTATGATATTTTTAGGGCCAACCTTTTCTAACTTCCCCTTTTCATAGGGAAGGCAGCATCAGCGTGGTACTGCTGCGCATTTAAGGGGAACATCCTACTGCGGTCAAACCGCAGCTGACCAGTAGTATAACTACGCCCCAGACACCCATCACAATATAGCAGTCTACACTACAACGATAACTGCTTTTCATCTTACCACTATCCAACAGACTTGGTATGATAGAACCTCATTGTGATATACAGATCCATATCGTGATTTTAAACTGCTGTAGCCACTATCGATGCACGATTATCTACTGTCAGCTACCAACGTTCACCAACTTCGTAGCTGATTGCCGACCCGACTAATCAAATGAAGAAGACACAACAAACGTGTATAGAACATGTATTTAAGCCGAAGACTGAAGGCGAAAGACGACGGAGAATATATCTAAATGCGTACGTAGTCCGGCGTTCTAAATAACGATAGTGATAGGCTAGTTGGTCAACTATCAGTCTAACCGTAGACATGATTAACACAAAATACATTTTGATTGGCCCATTTCCAAACTAGTCTTTTCTCCCTCTATCCCCTTACCACCTCCCTCTTTGAAAGACTGTTACTTGGAGTGAATCTGAAACCACACTCTTTTTACTGCACCTGTCTGACCGATGCAGAGGCAGTTTCTCATTGTTTACTAAAGGGTCAGTAGTTTTCTCGGTATTTTCGCATAGTATACCGAATGTATCTAGCAAGGTATTTGGGAGAAGCCCGTTGATTGCTGTCTTTATCGGGATATGCATGCCGTCATGGTTGGTTCTTGTGTTGAGTCTAAGTCTCCGATCTAACTGTGACATCGTACGTAGTGTTGCCACCGCTGCTAATAATCTATCCTTCTACCCAATTGTTATGTCCCACTCTATAGTCAATAGCAAACACTGATATCCCAGTTTTGAAGAATTTCGAAGCAGCTGGTATATTATCTGGAGGTGGCCTAGGAATCAAGGCATCGTGCATTGTTCTAAGCTTTTTCCTCATCAGGGTTTCCGATGAAATTCGATAATCTAGAAGTGTGTCCGTTGGTGTTGTCCTGTACCTAAATAAGAATTTCTGGATAGTTTCCACGGACATCCCTTCCTCTTGTGCCTTGAGCGTCGCTCTCTTTAATGTGTCCACAAAACGTTCTACTTAGCCGTTGGATTGTGGGTGATATGGCGGGGGATGGTATGTGCTATGTGACACGTCAAAGACAAAAATCTTCAAACTATACCCATGGTAACTGA